GTCAAGTCTGTTCATGTCAAGTCAAGTCAAGTCTGTTCATGCCTCGTCAGGTCAAGTCTGTTCATGTCAAGTCAAGTCAAGTCTGTGTATCTTGTTTGGATATTGTTTGGATGTTTGGATCACTCTGTAAATAAACTGCACTTGGGTTCTCACTTCAACTCGCCTTCAGTGGACTAATTCGTTACAAATTTATTCCTGTGATGGCAAAGTTGAATTTACAGCAGCCATTACTCCAGACTTCAGTGTCACATGATCCTTCAAAAATCATTCTAATACTTTTTCAGGATTCTTTGATAAATAGAAAGCTCAAAAGAACAGCATTTATTTGAAATAGAAATCTTTTGCAACATTATAAATGTCTTTACTGTCACTTTTGGTCAATTTAATGTGTATCTGATGACTAAAAGTATTAATTTCATTAAAAAAAATCATACTGACCCCAAACTTTTGAACAGTAGTGTATACTTCTAAAGAATAATAGCACATAATAAATTAGCTTTAAAAAGTACTGTTTTAATGAAAAGTTGCATCTTTAATATTTTTATTAAGCCATTTTATACAATCAATATGGTAATGAGCCATGTCCAAACATATACGAACCCAAAGTTGCGATGAGTGTCATTAAATGCTCTTCTGGCTGACATCTGATGATAAATTCCATTCATTTTGGGATTTAATTTATATGTCAGTTATACCATGTGCTGAAGTTGTTTTTCACAACATGTCTCAACAGAAGGCTGTCAAGGGCAAACACAGAGGTTGCTGCCGCTCATTTAAACATTGACATCAGTTCACCAACCCGATCTGCTGTCAACCTCCAATCACTGCAGAGTGTGTGCACATATGACAGTGAGAGAGAGAGGAGCACGCTTCATGAGCTCTAAATGTAGAAGATTCCCTGAGGAGTGAGCTCTAAAAACACTCTTCCTCAGAGGGTGCAGCACTGCCAGTGAAGGTGCAGAATAAAGGTCACTTTGTGAGTCAACAATCATCTGCCAGCGCATCAGCAGTGTGTGGATGCAGGAAACAGCATCTGCCCCAGTGCTAAGGAATGGATTTCTCCCCTCCTGTCAAACCAGATGGCTTATACCTATGTGGCTTGTTTTTTTATTTCGCATCAGATCAGTATCTACAAAGACGGATAATCAGGGACAACTGATTATATTTTGTTCCACTAAAGATTACGTCTCAGGTTACTTATGTAACCATGGTTCCCTGAGTAGGGAACGAGACACTGCGTCCACTAGGGGTCGCTATGGGGAACGCCTCGTCGTGACCTGTGTCTGAAGCATACATTGAAAAAACACCAACAACACGTTGGCCGGCGACAGCCCATGACGTCACTACCGGTGCGACTATAGTATAAATAGGCGCCGGGAGAACACGTCATTCACTTCTTCGTCTGAAGCGTGTGTTCGAAGCATGGCAGGAAGCATGGCAGGAAGCCTAGAGGATGCAGTGTCTCATTCCCTACTCAGGGAACCATGGTTACATAAGTAACCTGAGATGTTCCCTTTCAAGGGAA